GTCTGCAATTATGTTTTTCTTTCATTTTTTTTCTACGGTTTATCCCCTGTTGTCACTGTATGTTGAAAATGAACTTTATGAGGAGGGGAATCTAGGGGAGGAAAAGCGGGAGAAAATAAGGGAGGGGATAACACTGTTCAACAAGAAATGTGTTCATTTCCTTATTTAAATAACCATAAGCCCTCTGTACATGATTTTTACAATAAAATAAAATTTTTTAAAGATGGTATATACTATGTGAATTCAGACAATTATTTCCATAATCATTTGTTCTTTAAGAACATGTAAACTATCATTTTTTAGGGAAACAAAACTTTAAAAAATCTGCCTATATATATTTCACACACACACACACACACACACACACACACACACACACACACACACACACACACACACACAGTACTGTTTCTCATGACTCTCATTACTACCAAAGACTAAAATCCACAAGCACAAATTTCAATGTAATAATAATATAACAGAGCATGAAGCTGAAAATAAAACCTTGGATTTTGATTCTAATCTCACAAATTGTAAAACTTACTTAATTTTCTTAATGCTTTATGTCTGATTTTGAGTAGACTGGGTAACTTTTTTTTTTTTTTTTTTTTGGTCAACCGTGGGCCTGAATGCTGGTCCTGGGTGCTGTCCCTCAGCTCTTCAGCTCAAGGTTAGCACTCTGCCACTTGAGCCACAACACCACTTCTGGCTTTTTCTGCTTATGTGGTGCTGAGGAATCGAACCCAGGGTCTCATGTATGTAAGGCAAGCACTCTACCACTGAGCCACCTTGCCAACCTCAACTGGCTAACTTTTTACATTTACATTTAACTGTGGGTAGTGTTACAGGGAACCTCATAATAGACATATGTGATTGACTCCACTTAGCATCATATTCCTACTTTCACTTGAAATACATGTACCAACACTCACAGAAGTCTGCAATTTGGGTAAAAGGCCACTTTGTATCTTGCTCATTCACTGTCTTGAGTTAATTGTGCGTGAGAGAGACAACATGAGGCCTGCCAGAGAATCACAACACAGAAACAAGAATGTACACGAGTATAGCAGAGATTACCAGAAAGGACATGTCTACAATCTTTGATGTCCAATCATTTACCAAATGGAGTGCATGTTAGAAATAACAGCCAACCACTAGAGTAGGAACTATCACAAACCCATTCTTCAAAAAGCTGCCTCTATCATAAGTCAGAATTTGAGTCCTATGATTTAAGTGGGATCAGGAATATTTCTTTGTTGCTTTGTATGTCCCTCCTCCACCGCATAACCCCTGTTTTTGTTGTATTTGATGTTGGTATAATTTGTGGAGGGGAAGGGAAAAAACAACTTTAAATAGGGATACAGGTGGACCCATTGAAACAATGAGATGTACACGTCATTATGTCGAAAAACAAACTTTACAACTTTGGCGCGAGGGTGGGGAAGGTGCAGGGAGCTGGGTGGGAGATGGGAAGGGATGGGAAGGGGAAACAAAGGAGGAGGCAACAATGCTTGATAAGAAATGTACTCATTATCTTGCCCATGTAATTGTAACCCCTCTGTATGGTATTTTCACAATAAAAAAAAAAAAAGAATGCGTCTTGGTATCTACACAAATATTATGACTGCACAAAGTCTAAAATACAGGCCTGACATGAGTCAAATAAAAAGTCCAAGTTAGACTGGTGCCAAAACTGGCCAAAATAACTTGACCAACTTAATGGAGTTTCAATAATGCACAAATGAGCCAGGTGCCTGTGGCTCATGCCTGTAATCCAAGCTACTCAGGAGGCTGAGATCTGAGGATCGCGGTTCAAAGCCAGCCTGGGCAGAAAAGTCTGCTCTTATCTCCAATAAACCACCAGAAAACTGGAAGTGGCACTGCAGCTCAAGTGGTAGAGTGCTATCCTTGAGCTGAAGAGCTGAGAGACAGCGCTCAGGCTCAGAGTTCAAGGCCCATGACCGACAAAAAAAAAATGCACAAATGCATTATTCAAATTAGGTGAAATCCCAACATTAAATGATGAATATCACCCATCAATTACCACAGTTAGATGTTTAAAGCTTCTCATTCAATATTTATAGAAAGAACAACAAAAAAAAAGTTAATCCTAAATAATCTTCATACCACCTTCAAACAGTATGACCTAGTTGTCTGTTTTAGAACACTATGCAAACATCTGAGGACAGCATGCTTCCCACTAGAACACACAGAATGCTCATCAAAGTGAAGTCAAAGCAGCAGCCTTCAGTAAGTTTCAGTAAAGTTCTTATCTAAAATTTTAGCATAGATTGCAGAACTATATGCTCAGTTTGAATTCAATGCTAAAATTTAAGAGAATTCTCAAATAGTTAAAATTATGTAGAACATCAAAATTATATATTCTTTAAAATGCAGGGCAAGGGCCATTACAGACAATTAACATATACCTCGCAAAAGAAAACAGCCTGGCACTGGTGGCTCACGCCTGTAATTCTAGCACAGAGATCTGAGGATCACGGTTCAAAGCCAGATGGGGCAGGTAGATCTGTGAGACTCTTAACTCCACTGAAACACCAAAAAAGTCTGGAAATTGAGTTGTGGCTCAAAGAGGTAGACTGCTAGCCTTGAGTGAAAAAGCTCAGGGAGAGTGCCCAGGCTCTGAGTTCAAACCTCACAAGTGAAAACAAAACAAAACAAAAAAACACATAACAAAACTTACAGAACATAGGAAACAGGAAACAATAATGTCTATAGGAGAATTAGCTTTAAGTGTCTATGCTAAAAGAATAAAGCAATTAGTGGTAGACATATAAATTAACATTTCATGAGTAAAGAAGATGAGAACAATCAGAAGATAGTATACTCAAATAAAGCTGTGAGCAAAAATCCATACCTAGAAAACCTGTCACAAATATGAAGGAAACAAATAGACTCAAAGTTGATCTTTGTAAAAGATAGAGGTAATTTGGTCAAAGTGCAAATCAACTGGTGAACTCTGGCTCACATACTAATAGATTTTGTTCTGGGGCTTAGACAAAGAAAGCAAGCATGGGTTTGGTTTAGATTATTCCCATTATACTCTATCTTCCGTTTTCTTCTCTGACAATATAGAGCACAACTCTCTGCTTTTCTCCCTGGTCTCATACATACATTAAAAGATTTGACTCCCATTTTTAAAATATCTTTTACTTATGAGTACAATGCATTTTAATCAATGTTATCCCTTTCATCATTATCTTCCCTCTGCCCCTGCCCTACCAATCCCCTCAATTTCCTCATTTCTTTTTTAAAATTAATTTTATTTAATTATTTATTTATTTTGTGGATATGGTTCCAAGGCCTCGTGCATGCTAGGCAAGCACTGTACTATTAGGCCACATCCCCAGCCCCAATTATCTTATTTCTTGATGTAATTGCTCTACATGGTGCAATCATTGTTTTTCTGCAGCTGTCCTCTTAGAAGACTCCAAGTGTCTTCTGGAATAAAGACACAGGATATCACAATGGGAATTCTTCACTGAGGACTTCAAGAGATCTGCTGGAAAGGAACTGGAGTAAATAGGAGATCATGAAAGTTGCCTTTTGTTTTTCAAACGTTTGTCCAATCTTAAGAGCTCTCTCTTTTCTTAGCTGCTAGCAAATCATCTGCACTATTTTAACAACAAAGACTTGCAAACCGTGGGAGAATATGGAGCCTCTAGAAATTATGGTGACGCAAATCACTCATTGTTTGGTTACTGCCTAAGAGTCTGGGGAAAAAAATCATTTAGTTTTTGTTTGGCCTTTTTATAAAAATCCTAACTTCGTAGTGTGAATTTTAAGGATACCATTCTGAGATCATTATTTTTTTGGGTTTCAGAAATATGAGTGTTATATCCTAGAGAACCAAGAGAAAAATATTTCCCTAAGTGGCTTTCTGAGAGAGGGGGAGGAGGAGAGGAAAGTGGGGGAGAGGTAGATAGAGAGACACAGGTCTGTGCATAGGGATCCTCTCTGATTTCCTTAAACCCTTACCTTTTAAAATAGCTAGATTAATCCACATAAGCAATAATGAAGTCGACTATAATTATGAAAACCACAGTCACTCCAGATCCTCCTTGATTTCCCTGACTTAATCCTCTATGGTCAAACAGTGTTAGAATCTAGATTTCAACATTCCCCTCTATGAATCTAGTTTCAGGTAACCCTTTCCAGTTTCCTTCTTCTCTTCAGATGAACTCAGATCATCTACTAATACTCTTCTTCCATTCATGACTTTATTGTTCCAGATCAACCAGTGGGTTGCCATAACATAATCTGCTGATGGACTCCATTTATTTGACATTGAGGTATGCTTATCTAAGATGGATCTATCATATTAAATAGTAACATATAATCCACAAACATACTTCCTGGGCTCTCAATCTTCCTAGATTTTCAGTGTTTTTTTTTCAAGAATTAAATAATGCAAGTTATATTGATATTTCTGTTCTGCGAGAATAATTCTAAGAGGTAGAAATATACATGAAATTAAGCCAGAGAAATAATGGATCTTAATCACAGATGAGAGAAAAGCTGAAAAGAATTTTCATATAAATAATAATTTTGCGCCTCTGTTATATGAACTGTGAATAATGACATAAACACCACATACTAGCTAATAGCAAAACAGCTGCACAGAAGACTTTTCTGCAATAAAGAGCTACAGTTAAGTTCTGTGAGTATGACACTTCTCTACCCAGAGCCCCTCCCAATCCTACTAACACTCACTCCATGGACAGCAAAGAGGGAGATATGACTGCATGAACTGTTTCCTTTCTCTGATTTTTTTCATCCTCATTTCAGTAAGTTATGTGTCTAATAAGTTATATATAGATCTATTGGATAAGCAAACTCTTATGTTGGAACTTCTCTTCTCTGTTAAGGTTTATAGAAAAAAAGATTTAAGTTTAACACAGCTCTAACTTTCCTTGGCAATGAGGATGTGGCAGGAAGGAAACTGTTCAGTTGCTACAGCTGGGGAAATTGAAAGCTATGAACAGGACCGGAAGGAGCCCATGATGTTACAGCACCCTTCTTCCCTTGGCAGATGACCAGCACTGCTCAAGTTTACTGATTCAACCTACTGTCATTTTTTTTCTTAACATTCCAGGAGATTCCAAAGCTCTGTTCAGATTCTGAAGTTATCTTCCCACTCAAACAAAACCAGTCCTGTTCCTACAGAGTGCAAGGTCTCAGGATCCTGACACTGCTGAAGATATCTCCAGAGAGGTGAGTCCTTCTGACATCTCAAAACCCACAAGGTCAACAAGGAAAATAAGCATTAATTCCTTAGATGATGGGAGCGGGGAGCAGGGTTCACATCAGCTGTACTGCCAGCTGTGAGTTACCCAGGATAGAAAAAGATCTCGTTTTCATAAACACAGTTATTCTAATATATAGTATCTTAATACTTTCATACCATAGGTGAACTTTGATGTGAGAGTTCATAAAAAAGAGGTAGTTAAAATCAATTAAATAAATATATCCATATATTAAATATGTATGTAGACTACATATAAATATTCAAAACAGTAGGTATAGATTATACCAAAATGTTAGGTTTAGATTTAACTGATTTAAATATATTGAATGCATTATAGTGAGTGTGTGTGTGTGTGTGTGTGTGTGTGTGTGTGTGTACACATATAAGAGTATGTATTGCCAGGCCTTAGGCTTGAACTCAGAGGCTGAGTGCTATCCCTGAGCATTTTTCTCAAGATTAGTGCTTTAACACTTGGACCACAGCTCCACTTTCAGCTTTTTGTTAGTTAATTTAAGGGTCTCATGGACTTTTCTGCCTAGGCTGACTTTGAACCACAATCCTCAGATCTTCTGAGTAGCTAGGATTACAAGCATGAGCCAACCAATGCCTGACAAATGCCTTTATCCCAGAGAAAATGAGAACCCAACAATTTCAGACAGGCTAGAAATGTGGAATATAGAGAGATAATTGACTTTATGAAAATAACTTGTTAGAGAAATTAAGCCTAGATGGAAGAAAGCTGAACAACGATTGAAAAGATTCAATCAACAAATGCTTTAATTCTGAATTAGGGCATAGCTCAGAATCTTGCAAAAAGACAGCTATATGGGCATTAAAAACATGAAAAAAGAGGCATTCGTGGCACCATGGCACTGTGGTAGAAGGTTATTTCTTACAAAGTGAGAAGCTGCAGCCCGTTTTTCACGTATCCCACCTAAGTCAAGATGTGGGAAGTTAGGAACTAACAAGGAAACATTTGAGCAAAGGCTCCAGGTCCCTAGAGGAAGGGAAGAGCAGCAGAGCACTTTGGCACACAATACAATCCATATTCTAAATACAACAATTGCCTATTTCCAGGCCTTCTTTCACCACACCCACCACTGACCCAGTCCAACAACCATCCTTAATAGGGAAGAATTTTTATTTTATTCCTAATGAAGCAATTCTCAAGAGTGATGACACTCCCAATTGGTCACAAGCACACTTGTGAACAATACTTGGACACAAGCCTTTCACTTCCATCAGGAGACATCCCCTTAACAAAAACTTTCTTTAGTCATGTGTAACACTGTATGCTGATTTTTCTCTTGTAGACTCATCAACAACTGGAGAGATGGTGAATAAATACAAGAAAATTGTTCTGCTGAAAGGATTAGAGGCCATCAATTATTATCATTTTAGCTTATTCAAGTCTTTACTGGTCGGTGATTTAAGACTGACTAGAAAAAGGCTAGTTAAATGTGACAGAATTGAGATTGCTGACTTGATGGAGGATGAATTCCAAAATGATGCTGGAGTGGGCAAACTGATAGCATTGTTCAAAGAGATACCGGACCTGAGAGAACTTGCTGAAACTCTTCGGAAAGAGAAGTTAAAAGGTAACAGGGAATAAAGAATAGCTCTCTCTGACACTATATTAGCCCTTCTATGCCCTTCCTAACCTTGAACTTCTCCTTTGTAATAGCTGATGCATTTTAATGTATTCCTCAGTGTCTATGACATCATGACATCTTTGTACTAGTTAAAGACACTACAGGTACCAATAAGATGTCGACTTGGAGTGTTCACCTACCAGTGGACAAGTGAATTGTTTTATATATATAGAACATGTATGTTTATTTAGTGTTTATTATTATGTATGTTTACATATATAAATATATAACATCATATATTATATATAGTTTTAAATATACATATTTATATATTTTGTGTGTGGCATATCTACAAATGATGAAAAGATGCGGCTTCAGGTACAATCTGGATTTTGTAAAATAACAAATAAAAATGACAGTGTACGGTTTTTACATTAAATGTAACCCATAGCCAACTGTTTTAACTATTCAATTAAGACTATACCTCTAGTAACAAAGACAAGGGAATACTTAAATGAAAACCCCTCTCAAAAAGGCAAGAAGGTCTTCCTCCCCAGTAAAATTACTGAATTAACAAAAAGTTTTAAAGATTCAAGATCAACAATCACCTATTTATGTGCCCACAAATCTATGCAATTTTCCTTTTCACAGGCTGCTATCATTATAATGCATCATATAGAAGACACAGCCAACCAATGACCATCATGAAAATCTTAGATTGTTAAAGAGGATGATGGGAAATAGGGGTGGGAGAAGACTCAACATGGGATTCAGAGGACAGGGAGGATTTGCTCACTCGTGGAGGTTAGGGAGGAAAAGCACAGAGGAACATGGAACGGTGTAGACACCAGCATAGTTACTCACACCCAAAACTGAAAAGAAATAGTACTGGAACTGCTTTAGCCCTTCTGGAGTCTGTGTGTTTTCTATTGATGTGTTCCTTTTCACTCTATTATGATAAAAACTAAACCCACCTCAGCAAAAAGGAAAAACTCCAGCAAAAAAATCCAAGCAAGGACAAGTAGGTTGTTCATCCATACCAACTGCCAGCAACACTCTCACATCTGAAGTGGCGGGCACTCCCAAGCCTCAGGTAAGCCTGAGGAAGACAAGCAAATAGGCGTTCATTCTACCATGGCTCTTCCCATCGCTGTCTCTATCAGGCATTTACTCCTCCATCAGTGTCCCTTCTGTGTGTGTGTGTGTGTGTGTGTGTGTGTGTGTGTGTGTACATGCTCACGTGTGTGCACACGCATGTGCACAGCTGCTCCTGGGGCTTGAACTCAGTGCCTGGGCTCAGTCTCTGAGCTTCTCTTGCTCAAAGCTACCACTTGAGTCACAGCTGTACTTCTGGCTTATTTTTTGTAGTTTACTGGAGATAAGAGTCTCATAGACTTTCCTGCTTGACTAGCTTCAAACCAGGATCTCCAAATATCAACTTCCAGAGTAGCTAGGGCTACAGTTGTGAGCCACCAGCCCTTAGCTCCCATCAGTTTTAGACTTAGCACACTGCATGAGAATTGATCAGATGACATAATTATATCTTCATTCATAATAAAGAGGTTATTGACTTGAGAATCAGATTTTTAAAAATCCTTTGCCCATATTTATTAGAACCTGTTTTTCCCAATTCTAAATCAGCCACACTTTGTCACAGAGACAACTACAGCATAACCATATGTGTAACAATTTCCTGCCTATATTTTTAATGAAGCTATTTGTGCCCACATCTTGCAACTGGCCAGGGAACAGGCACTACTCCTTAAAGTTTCCAACCTGTGTGTGTAAAATAAACCTGCAAGCAAATAATTAAGATGTGCTCTACTTCATTTCATACTGAGAAGCATTAACCAGACAATTAAACTACTTTCAGAAAAGATAAAGCACAAATAAAGGGAAGACTGTAACCAAAAAGAGAAAGGTGCTAGAGGAGCTGGCTCTCCCTCTAGGTCTTGAAGGAGCTGCAGATCCACCGCTACCAGGGGTGACTCCCTAGCTCCTCAGGAGCTCTGTTCCACCCAGCACTCCCTCTGCTCAGGTACCAGCTTCCTATTCTGTTTTACACTGATTCTTCAATCCAAATGGAGGAATCAGACCTTGAAATTCTGAGCTTTTCCTTAACTTGAAGGTAGTACCAGTAGTTACAATCAGGCAGACAGACACATATACATCCATATATATGGATGTGGTTGGGGGAGGAGTCACTGTATCTTAACATTTTGCTTCTATAGAATATTTAATGAGCATGAGATTACTACATTTTTTTTTTGTCAATCCACACATGGGCTTGAACTCAGGGCCTGGGCGCTGTCCCTGAGTTCTTTTGCTCAAGGTAGTGCTCTACTATTTTGAGCCACAGCTCCACTTGTGGTTTTCTGTGGTTAATTAGAGATCTCATGAACTCTCCTGTCTTGGCTGGCTTGGAACCATGATCCTCTAATCTCAGCCTCCTGAGTAGCTAGGATTATAGGTGTGAGCCAATGGCACCTGGTTTATTACATTATTTCTGACAGTAGAAAGTTCTTTGTCCTGTTCTGACCCCAGAGAGGCGGGAAGAGGTGTAGCATCCAGCATACACAGGTACAAACAGCAGTAGATTTGCTTTTGCTGATCCAAACTCTTTCACATCTCTTCCCTTTAGCGGACTAACCACACAGCATATTCTTTTCTTCTTCAGGGTTTTCACACATGATATATTATCTGTACTTGGAACACACTTAAGAGTTCAAGGGATTCCACCATCTGAATCCCATGGCTGAGAGAAAAAGAATCAGCATAACTCAGTCATTCAGAAATATCTGGGCATTAGGAAACATTTCTCTTCAAGCTGCAGATGAGGAATAGTGATTCAAAATAGAAAAACACAATATGGCAAATGAGGGAATGAAAATGGATAGGTTTGAGAAGGGACAGCGTCAGGTCCATAAGACCAAAAGATAATCATGACTAAAGGGAACAGTGTTGTTCTCTCCATTGTTGAGATCTCATGGTGTCTTTCTTACCTTTCTTTCAAGGTGGTCAAGGGTAAGAAGAAACCAGCCAGTTACTTCAAAATCTGGAAGTTGAGTTAAGAACTGCCCTCCAAATCAACTCACTGTCTTCAACAGTGATTCTATTAAAAAAGAGACGTATATAAATCATAGTGGGCATTATGCTTCTTTGTTTTATGAAAAATTCTTTTTCCTCCTCCTCCTCCTCCCTTCTTGTCTAAGATTATCATATTTGGATTTATGCTATTTATAATGCACTCAAACTTCAGTATATATCTTACAAAATTAAGGAAAGTAAGAGAAGGGATGTGTTGGGAGGGGTGGGTGGGAATGTTAAAAGGATTGACATTGATCAAGGCACATTGTATTCATAAACTGCTTTGTGAAGTGGCAGCTCCTTTGTACAGCTACTTAGAGATAATAAAAATATTTTTAAAATTCTGTTTTTAAAAGGATTTCATTCCCCCAAAGTGTCAGACATGTTTTGTTAAATCCAGTAGTGAGCTGAGGAGATGGCTGATTTGTGCAGTGTGAGGCACACAGGTGGAGGGCCTCAGGAACATTGTGTTCAACCTTCTGATTGATTCCTGGAGAGCAAGATCATATCAGGGTTGTTCCCCAAGTCTATACAGGCTGCTCAAGCCTATTGAAGAGTTTTGTTGGTCAAGAGAAAAGAATTTCTCTTTTGTAATCAAATGTTCTCCCCCCAATTATAGTAACTCAGTGATAGAAATTCAATATTTAAAGCCACTGTTTAAAATATTCAAAATGAGACTATATCACATTTACATATTAGATTTTTTTTGGGGGGGTCCGGTCATGGGGCCTGAACTCTGGGCCTGGGCGCTGTCCCTCAGCTCTTCAGCTCAAAGCTAGCATTCTACCACTTGAGCCACAGTGCCACTTCCAGCTTTTCTCTTTTTTGCTTATGTGGTGCTGAGGAATCAAACCCAGGGCCTCATGCATGCAAGGCAAGCGCTCTACCACTGAGCTACCTTCCCAGCCCTACATATTAGATATTTGACAATGGTTTTCTGTGATCCAAAGACCAGCACATGCATGATAAGCGGTTAAAAAAAATTATGAGAGTTTTCAATACTTGGAACAATAAGCAGCTTAGAATCCTTGTGAGGTGACAAATTCACAAAGCAAGCTATACAACTGTCCCAGAAACCTGAGTTGATTTTCAGATTGCCAAATAGTGTAAACTTTTCACCTTATGGCAGTCACCGTGAGCCTAGAGGGCAAGCAACACACTTCATGACACTTCTACAAAACAGCTGGATTCTTACGAGAAAGAAGATGCACCAAGATGGCCTCATTCATTAGCTGAATTCTTTTTTTTTTTTTTTTTGGGTCCGGTCGTGGGGCCTGAACTCTGGGCCTGGGCGCTGTCCCTCAGCTCTTCAGCTCAAGGCTAGCACTCTACCACTTGAGCCACAGCGCCACTTCCAGCTTTTTTCTTTTTGCTTATGTGGTGCTAAGGAATCGAACCCAGGGCCTCAGGCATGCAAGGCAAGCACTCTACCACTGAGCCACCTTCCCAGCCCTCATTAGCTGAATTCTTAAGGGAGACGAGGAAGCAGGAGACCCACAGAGAGCACTGCTTAGAGGTAAAAGAAAGAAAACAGTGCTGAGAATATTTATGTTATAGGATAGTAATCTACCTTTTAAACCATAGGTGTCTAAGTAAACAGGAAAGTGATAGCCTGAAGAATTAAGACCATGCAGTAGACAAATAGCTCATGTAAGCCTTTCCTAACAAAGCCTGAAACCCAGCCGCAATCATTTCTAAATTATGCTGTGATAATTGAGCAAGAGGATTTTCTTTAAGATTTAGATCAGCTCATCATTGAAAGAAAATTCCCAGAGTCATGGCACCTGCCCTGCAAAAAAAAAAAAAAGGTTTAAAACAAAAAACAAACAAATAAAACCAAAGTTTGACAATTGAGTAAGGGAAGAAGTGACATTGTGTAAAAAGAAATGTTCTCATTATCTGGCTAATGTAACTGTAACCCTCTCTACATCATCTTTATAATAGTAGCAGCAAGCCGGGCGCTGGTGCATGCCTGTAATCCTAGCTACTCAGGAGGCTGAGATCTGAGGATCGCGGCTCAAAGCCAGCCCGGGCAAGAGAGACCGTGAGACTCCTATCTCCAATAAACCATCAGAAAACTGGAAGTGGCGCTGTAGCTCAAGTGGTAGAGCGCTTGCCTTGAGCTGAAGAGCTGAGGGACAGCGCCCAGGCCCAGAGTTCAAGCCCCACAACCGACAAAAAAAAAAAAAAAAAAAGAAAATATAATAGTAGCAGCAAAAATTAAACATTTTTGAAGTCATAATTTTCCCCAGCTACAAAGGCCTAGGCAAGGGCTGACCCAGACTCCAGAGCCAGCTCTTTCGTTTCTATCATGATGTATCACTGTTGTCATTACTTCTTCTCTTCTCTTTTTGTTGCCATCTGGGCCTTCTCTTCTACTGATGAAGATCAAAAATAAGCAAGAAAAGACCACTCCAGAGAAAGAAGCCTTTTACTGGGCCTAATGTGACCTCACCAGTGCGTAGCACAGAAGAGTGAACAAAGTGAACTAAACAGTCTGCTTACTTACCCAGATCACAAGTGACAGGATTTCAGTGCCAACTACAGGAATTCCTTTCTGCAAATGCAGGACTGTGGTTCCACAAATTAATGGGTCTGGGGAGAAAAAACTTCAGTTTTCTGGAGTTCCCCAAGGCCAAACTGCTCATTTCTCTGAATCTCAGTAGTAAAGTCTTCTCAGGAAAAATCTTGTTTGAACGTATAGTACTTTTTCATTTCTGTTGAAAACTGTAATTCGTTAAGTAATAATTCTCTTCCCACTCTGAACACTTTAAAAATTGAAGTAATCTTTCTGCCATTTAAACTAATTTGTGCAATTGGCCAACTGACTACCTACCTCAGATAACACTTTCAATAAATTCAATATACCAAGGAAAGAATGAATAACAAGCATGAAGGTCAGAACTTACAGATGAAGTCAAACATGAATCATTGTTATTTAATTTTAAAAGGGATATTATAAATTGAGTTCAATTGTCTACTAACATATGCACAGAAAATACGACAGAAAAAAATAGGAGCATTAAAAGGTTTAAGGAAGTCCAGACAGAGGAAGACAGGATAGCAACACCCAGATCTACGAATCTCTGATTTTCCTTAGTATTAACATGCTATTTATATATATTTTTTACTATTTTATTTGCTCTTTTTAACTGTATTATAATCTTTCATGACTTTTATTGACATTGATCTTGGCTTTGATCTCTTGGCTTCTTTTTCCAAGCTGAAATGTTCTCTTTCTATTTATTGCTCTCTTCCACCTGCTTATAGACTCTACTCTTCCACCTTCCATGAAGTAAGGTCATGAGATGACCAGTATATACAGTATAGTACCACACTGTACATACTCACAACGGTTACGAGGAAAGAGCTCTCAACAGGGAATGTAAGATGAAACACACACACACACACACACACACACACACACACACACACACACACACAAGTGATTCCATACTGTATGGTTAGCATGAGACATAATTGAATTTACTATACCCAATGGAGGGCAGGATATAGGAGACCTGTAATGGAATTTTAGAACTAGAATGTAATGTATGGCAATGATGGCATCTTTGGTACACTACATGTAGTTACTGCCACCTCGTGTCCATCTCTGGAAACTACACTTTCTAGTCAGCTATCCAAGGGGGGAAAGGAGGTTGCTGGGGAGAATCTTTTTTTTTTTTTCTTTTTTTTTTTTTTCTTTTCTTTTCTTTTATTTGAAAACATACTGTACAGAGGGGTTACAATTACATGGGCAGGAAAATGCATACATTTCTTACCAAGCATTGCAGCCTCCTCCTTTGTTTACCCTTCACCTCCCTTCCCAGCCTCCCCCCTCCCCCCCACCCAATCATACCCCCCCTCCCTCCCCCCCACCGACATTGTAAAGCTGGTTTTGACATGACATTTTGTACTTCTCATTGTTGCAACAGGTCCAGCTGGGGAGAATCTTAAGAGTTGATCTTAAGATCTTGAAAGTGTTGTGTTTGGGGCCTTCATTTGGGAGAGTTCTTAAGTGAAATGCTACTTTGTTAACCAATTTTAATCATTCACAGAGAAAGTCAAAACTATCATTCTTGGGGGGGGGGGGGGAGTTTTGGAGCTTAAACAAAATTCAGGTACAAAGGAGATATTCAATAATATGAAAAAGATTTCTGTTTTGGGCAACTTAGAATGTCCTAAGTGTAGGGACATAGGAGACGGGAGATTCCCAGGACTACAAGGCAAGGGTCTTCCCCCTGAAGAAACGCAGACTGTCTGGGACTATGGCAGATTGCTACAGGAGTGGTCTGTCTTCAAGGTAAGCAAAAAGGGATGGAAGAAAAGACTTTCCAAAACTCAACATATGATGCCAAATATAACCAAAATATGAAACTTGGGATCTTCTTTACCCAGAAGGTGGGGGGAAGGAAGAGGAAATAGAAAGATAAAGGGGGACCAAATTGTGCATGGATGGAATTGCCGCAATAACCCCCCCCCCCCACACACACACAGAGACTCCTGTTGTTAAAGTATGCTAACTCAAAACTTAAAAATACTAAAAGATTACCACATTTCTTCCTCCTTCCTCCTTGTGTATCACTTCAGATCACCTGTCTGTCTTAGCTGCCTTGTGAGGGTCCCTTTCCAAGAACATCATCATATTTCTTGCACAGTAGCTGATAGGCTGATCATCCATTGACTGATGCCATTTCAATGTTTTTTTAAAAAGTTATTTTCAAGCACCTGACCTTTCTACAAGTCCAGTGCTGTTCCACAATTCTCTAGGCTTCAATGTTGTCTGGATATGAGCCAGCTTCCTGTGTGTGTCTACAAATAATTCAGGAAGCCTGAGAAATTGTGGCTTTAATGATTGAGGTAGAATAGCTTAGCTATGACTGATTTTCTTTCTATCTCTTTGATGCTGGAGCCATATGTTTGTATAACATTATGCTTTGACACATCCCAGGTTTGCTAACTATCAGCAATGTGTGGATCCTTCAAGAAATCACTTGCAGTGGTTTCATGGCCCACTTCCCCATTCTGTACTGCCTATCTCTACAAGGAAAAGGG